ATTTCTCCTAGTTTTTGTCATTTTGAAGTTAGATTAAAAGTTTAATGGAATATCGGTAAGCTTTAGCCTCCAAGTTCTGAGGAAAAAAAAAAAAAAAAAAGATGATGTCTAAACCACCAAGCCAAATAGTTAAATAAAATACTTCTCATTTCCATACAGGTAGAAATGTACAAAGTGCTGTGAGTCATTCAGTCTCTCTGTAACCTGTCAGGTTTCTAAGGTTCTGTGCCTACAGCTTCATCCCAGTTAAATTCTCTTTGAGCAGACAGCATTGCACACATTTTGGCCTTTCACTTTGTTTAAAAGCCTGTTGAAATTAATAGAAAGCCTATCAGCCTCCCAAGATAGTGCCTCCTCTTGTAATTTAATCCACTGAATAGTTACAGTGTACCTCTGGATACAAGAAGCCCTCAGAGAAATGAGTAATAATTGGGTCTAAGAACCCCCAAGGAATGATGGTTATTTTTTAAATAGTTGATTTTGCTAACTGGCCTTGAGCTTGCACTGAAAATGTACATTGCACAGAATTTACATTGCCCTGGAGCAGCAGCAACTTCACGAATCTTTGTCTGGAACACTTTTTCATTTTTTAGTTTAACTTTTCTCTCTGAATGTCTTGATGATTAGACTGATTGCAAGTTTCCCATAAAACTTGTACCAGAATGCAAAATCCTGCCTTGCTGCAGTTTATGTCTAGAACTCCACCTCCTTCCAGGATTGGCAGTATTTTGTGTGCCTGGCACATTCAAGTTGCTGTTTACAGTTGGCAAGTCATACCGGAATACTTCACCCCAATCTAGAGATTAGGTGGAATTTCAGCCATGATTGTCCAGGGAATCAGTTCCCTTATGTCTGCTGCCGACCTGTGCATATTCCTTGTGCTACCAGCAACAATTGGGTAATAATACATTTCCACAGCACTAGGTCTTTGTATATAATGATGTTGCTCAAATGGCATCAGTCTAAGAAAAACTTGGGCAAAAACATCAAACTAATTTAGGTAGAGCATGAAAATACTATGCCCTTCAGCTTAAAACTCTGTAGCCAGGTTTGTATTAGGTCCTTAATATATTTTTAGTGGAAACAGAGCATCAAAAGCACTTCTGGACCTTGGTATTTAAAAAGAATTATGGACATCTCAAAAGTGTGTGTGTGCTGGGGGCAATTCCCCTTCATCAGAAAATGTTTCTTTCCATTCCCTTTCAAAACAAGGTCTGTCATCTGCTAAAATTTCAGCAGGCCTTTACATGCAATTAATTTCTCTCACAGTAAAAAACTTCTGCCATAACTTGAATTTATTTAGTATTACTTCTTAAGTACTGTTGGTATAGCTGAATAGACCAAAGTCACTCCAGTCATCATAACTCTGAGTCTCATGCAGAGGAGGCAAGACTGATGCACAACAGTTTGTATATAGAAACAGTAACAGACAGATATGCCTGATATCAACAGAGCTAAAGCAAGTAATGCCTTTAACTCCTATTAGAAAAGGCTTGAAAAACACATTCTTGACTAACATCAACTGAAGGTCACCTTTCTTTATTTCATTCAAGTTTAAAAATTGCTGCTGTTTTAATGCATGGCATAATTAGAGTAGGGATCTTTGAGTCAGCTTTTACAAATGAGAAATTTTGTTACCAGCTATCCTATTCCTGAGAAACCTGGACATAACAGAATTATATAGGATCGTGCTTAACTGCACCAGATGGTTAGTTACATGGAATTCACTTAGATCCTGGGAAGGGGGTTGGTTCATTGAAATGGTTTGCCTGATTAAATTTAAGCATGGCATAAATGCCCTGTACAGCCTGTTATTTCTACCCAGTAGGTTCCAGTCTGTGTATGAAACTTGCAGAGAAAATAGGTCTCAATAGTGTGTGGTACTTATGTACATTTCCATATTTCCCTGAATAGGTGCCAGAGGTCTTATGCACCATTATCTGCAGTAACTAATTGAAGTATCATGCAGACATAAAGAATTTGTCTTATTCCGACATTAGCAGCAGTGCATCACATTTGACATAAAAATGAGCACAGTGGGCTTTATATACCAATCGCCTATTAAAAGTTTGATTCATTCTCATACCTTTGGTCTCAAGAGGACTAGAAATACAATGCAAAGGCTTTCAAATACTTTTTAATTCACATTTCAAATGAAGTCTGTAACGCATCATACTTCAAGCTCTAGTACAAAAGTCAAAGGAAAAAGGAGGGGGAAATGGCAATTACTCTTTCATACAACTGCAAAGGATGTTATCAACGCTACAGATATTAAAGCCATTTACTTGTGATCACCAAATAAAAGCTGTATGTAATTAAAACATATGGCTGGTATTAACTGAAAAAGGGACAGGAAATTGAACATTAAAGGTGACTCTGCCCTTAATTCACTCTATCATTGGGGGAGGGAGGAGAAGTGCTCTGAGTGAAAGGACAACGAAAATCTTATCTTTGAATTTCCTGCCTTTCATAAGCTACTATTAAAACCTGCATGTTTAAGTGTTAAAAAAACCTCTGAAGCATTGTAAAACCTGATCAGTGCCTCTCAAAAAGCTTGACTGTATTTAGATGCTAAATTCTTCAGCGTAAAGAATCAGTTCCCTCCACCCTCTATATTTTTTTGCAGTAAAAAGAACAGTTTTGGCTTTTAGTGAAATGATTGTTTAAATATTACATCTAATGAAGTCAGTGGAAATTTCTATTCTTCCAATTTTATTTCTGAAAGGCTATATCCCAGAAAGCTAATTTCTGGAAGCATTTTCACAGTCCTGTTTAAGTAGAAGTGCTGGTTTGTCTTTTTAGAGTGCATACCAGATTAGTTCTTCTAACAATCTATGTAGAGCTACTTTCATTTATACTAAGTGAATAGTTGACTCTTTTTGTGGTTTACTTGATGTAATGCTGATGACTCCTCCTTTTTTGTTCTGCCTTTTTTCATGCTAGTTTTGAACCAGTATTTAATAACTACATCTTTTGACTTTACTGTCCTTACACAATAATCACAAATTGTAGTCACAGATACTTTACTGTCCTTATGTTTGGTGTCAGCTGCAAATTGCTTTCATTAGTAGGAACTTCTTGGCAGTTTATGAAGTAGCTGTATTAAAAATTCAAAAGGGCAAACTATTATCTAACGTTTTTGTAAACCATGGGCTTCTCAACTTATTAATGACCACATTTGTCCTGTAAATAAATACAAAGTTTTGCAAACAAATAAATCAAAAGGGATCCAGTTCTGTAAGCTTTTGCTGGAATGATCCCCATTAATAATCAGTGTGGGTAGCAGCTATTGTATATTCACATGACTTTACAAAACCTAGCTGGTTTACGATTTTAGAAATGTGTGTTTCTACCAGTCTCATGTTACATTTTTATGATTTTACCATTCTGGAAGGTATGCAATATCTTGTCAATCAGTTGAATATCTTTTTAGGCCTAATGTAAGATGACCATGTAAAGTAAGTACTCAAACAGTAAGTCTGTGTCTCCGTGGGGTTGTGTGAAAAGCCTAAATTTTGCTTTCTGGCGATTCATTTTCTTTTCTTTTGCTGTGTTTATTACTGAATGATGCTAAATCCTAATTTGATATTCCAGGCCATGAGATGCTGATGACATCCTGCTTTCAGGCAACTAAAATGAATACTTCTCTCCACCTTTTAAATATATTAACCAAAATAGATGTGTTTTTCAGGCTCACTTTAACCTCTAAGAGCACAGTATATTCTCCTGATCTTTGGCTTTTGGTTTTGTCTTTGATTATGTTCTCTTCTGTGGCCCAGTTACTCGAATGGAAGCTTACGTTCCTGGGAAATAGTCAACCAGTAACTAAATACCTGTTTAAAATTTAATATGCAAATTATCATTTTAGTATTCAATAGAATTTATTTTAAGCTGATCCTGTATTTTCAATGTCACATGCTACCATTTTTCAGTTTCAGATTTAACAGCCCATTAAGATGAAAGGGACAAATCACTTCTTGAGTTACCATCTCAAAGCCTTGATGCAGGTAGATGCATCATCACCTTGTAGTTTGTAGTCATATGGCATTTTCAGCTTGGAAGGTTAGTATTAGAAAGCTTGGTCTCATTTAGTGTTAGAGGCCCCAGTTTGCTTTAATTCTTTTTCCATAAGCTCAAAATCTCTGTAATTTATAAAACTACCTAAACAAAAGCTGGGATTCTTGACTTGAGTGAATTCAGAAAATAGGTCATTTTCCAGTAACATCTAATATTCAAGACTCTGCCAATGAAGGTGGTTCTTGACATACTCTGTGTGTGTCATTTCTGTGTTTGCTGATACTCTCTACCCTGGATACACTCAGCATTGTGGTTATTGATTTATAACAGTAGAAAGACAGAACAGTTGGAACATAACAAAGCTTTTTGCTTCAGAATTAACTATCCTTGGACGTAGAAGATTACAATATAAAAACCATGGTTGCCTGTAGTTAATATGTTTGATTTATCATCTGAAAGTCTAAAATTAAAGTGAATTTACTGCACCTGAAAGGCACTAGTACAAAAAGCACAGAGATGCGGGTCGTGTGTTATCTTTAGAATTGATATGGAGCAAATAACAGTTGCTCTGAGTCCATGACTTTTACAGAGGTAACACATTCACTTGGGTGTTAATGAGGTTCTTTCTCCTGTGGTCCCTTATTCCTGTAGTGATATCACATGTAAGGATTCACCATTTGAGCATTCTGCCCCAAGATTTCATATAATTAAATGTTATTGTCCAAATATTGTCTAACACCAACTCACTTTTCACTGAACAATTATCAGTTACTAGTTGGAGACAACTGTGAATCATCAGTTGATGGACAGGGCTCACTCTTGTTGACTGCAAGTCTCTTTTCCATGAACTAGCCTTCCTGCTCTGGTAAGAGTATTTGTTATGTTTGTTATTGGCTCTTGAGCAGTCTTCTGTTAAAGACTGAGATTTATCTCTTCTGTTGTCTCTCTCTTCTTTCCCTCCTTTCCTCCTTCCCTCCTTACAGAAAAATCCGTAAGAAGTTCACCAGATCACAGCTGAAAAGAGCTTCCAGAACACCTTGTTCTCCGATCATTACAAAGACAAAGTCTCTCGTGAACAGTAGGCAGGCACGAGCAGAGCCAGGAACCATCACGCACTGAAGATATAACAGCATCAGCACCATAATCATGTCAGAATCATGTTTAATTGTGAATGCAGATACAACAGGACCTTCCGCATCTTCGAGACAGAAACACTGTACAGATAGATTGTGGCTGTGTTCTGTGTTCTGGGCAGGATCCAACAGCAGCCCTTGTTTTCCCTCATCTCTGCAAGGGCTACTTCTGGTTCACTGTGCAGGCCTATCCCGGGTTGTCCTGCTGTTCCCTCCATTTCCAGTCATTGCTGTTGGCTGGTCAGGGAGGGACTGTTTGCACTGACCACACTGAAGGAGTATGGATGTAGAGTCCACCCACCACATTTGTCTATGCCTTCTAGTGGCTTGATGCAAAAATATGCAGCTTTCAAAACTATTGCAGTGTCTTTAAAGCAGGATTTAGCCTTGAGGGGCTTGCATTTTCAAAAAGAGCTGCAAACTTTGGGTGTTCATATTTTTCAGTATTGGCTTGAGTCACTTTGGATTTGATTTTCTGAACTGCTGAGCATCCAGACCCTGAAATGAGGACAAGGAGTTTAGCAGTTCTGAAACTTAGACTGAATTAGGAAGTGCCCATAATAAGTGGCCAATTTTCAAAATGCTGGCCATATCAGCTTCGGTTAAAATCCTGGAAAGTGTTAACGTGTGGCAGTGAACATCCAGCTGGACTAGTTGCATGTGTAGGAACTGGTCCCATTGTCTATATATTTGCAAGCATCCACTTATTTCTTTGGGTATTTTTTGCATTTCTTGAAACCTGTTCTGAATAGTGAAAACCAGCAGAACACCATTCCCAGGAAAACATGAAGAAGTAGAGTATTTCCTATTAGAAATGTCTCTCCACAAAATAATTTCTACATTTTGATATGTCTGGATAAAAAGTTATCTTGCAGAATGCTTTTTGAAGTTTGTAATTGTAAGGCTGCAGGTGGATACTTACTATGGAGAGATGATGTGCCTTTTGAAACTACTTGTAGGAAACTGTCAGTCCCCCTGAAAGTGGGAATGGCAACAGGGGCAGGTCTTTTTTCTACTCAGGTACTTACAGGTGAACAATCTCTGCCCTACTTTGAAATCAAGAGGCAACCAGTGTCTAGCACTACTGTGTAAACCTAGTAGGGATATGTTGATTATCTGAGGCAAGTTGTGTCCTTCAATAGATTTGGTTTCTGTATGGCTTTTTAAAAGGTAGTCAGACACTGAACACATAGTAAGCTGAGATGAGCTTCAAGCCTTTTATTTCTGTCTCTTTACTAGGTAACCCTAACAGTATTGTATAGATGTGAGGTTTTCATCCAGTTGCGGACGTGCACTCAGCTCTGTCGTTAGAAAGACGAAGATATAAATGGTGTCTCATACCTCTGGGTGATTCTCCAAAAATTATTTCCCCCCATACGATTTATGGTTTCAGCCTGAAAGAGCATCTGTGATCTCAGCCTATAACTAGCCATACTGTCCATGTAGGATTTTGAGCTCTTGAGATAGATAGTGACCCACATGCTTCTTCAAAAAAGAAAGCACCTTGACCTCCTGAAGGGACTTGCTTGAAGGATTTTCTGGAGTGATGGATCCAGGTCTTGTCCACTGTCCTTCACCAGCAAGAAAAGGGTGAATACGAAGGAGAGATTATGACATGAAGTGCTCCTAGTACCCTGAGCACCCTAGTGAATGTCATGGATTTGGACTCAATTGGAGAAGACCTGGGATTCATCTGCTTACAGTTCTTCCCAGTAGCTGCTGAAGTATGCAGCCCGAGGAGTCTCTTCTAGCCACAGGATCTGCCTTTTCCTCACAACAGGAGGGCTTTTCATCAGATAACTGAGCGGAGACAACCTATTCTTATTAGTAAGAATTGCCTTTATTAAATACCACATATGGAAACACCTTCTATATAATAGCTTCCTCACGCATTAAAATAAAGAAAACATGATTATTCAGCAATCTGTTTGACTGAAAGTATGAAAAACATGAACAGAAAGAGCTTTGTCTCCCTCAGGCATCAGTGAAATCACACACAGCAGACTCATTTTCGAAGTGTCATTAGCTGTAAGGTGGTGGATTTTTTACCCTGCCTTATTAAGCTTGTACTCAAATTATTTCTTTTAGTCAGCGTGCTACAGTGTCTAGCCAGTATTTTGTAAAATCTCTGTGTGTTGCTGCTTTTGACAAAAGTATTAGTATCCGTAATAGTCTGATGTGAAGTCATTTTTTCTTCTTTTCCTCTGAGGAGAGAGGTTGGTAACACGACTCCCTGTTGCGCAGCCAGCTCCCCGATACCATTGTCTTTTGCATCAAGTAGCCGAGGTAAGGAAGAATCCTTTGCAGCTTCAAGCTGAGGAGCTTCATCTGGATACACTGGAAATAATGCTGTGACCCTACCTGCCAGAGTCATTTCACAGGTTGCAACAGCCAGCCCTTGGGGCAGGTAAAGCACGGAGGAGACTGTTTGCTAGAATAACTTCTCCATCTTTAAACTATTTCGCATGCAGCTGCACAGAGACTTTCCCTCCCCTAAAATGCATACCGTGCACAGAGAAACTGCATGCCATGTATCACACCTTTGTATTTACCTGCTCTCTCTCCATCTTACCTTTTCTGCAAGATGTTCTCCAGAGATGGATACAGGATTTACCTGTGAATTTCAACCAAAAGCATTGATGGAAGATTAGCTGAAGACATGTTCCTGCTGGGTTTGGGCATAAAGATTTAAATTTTGGAAGAAACTGTGACACTCCTTACCACAGTGTCATGCAATTCCATGCTTTCTGTTGAGTTAAAGATTTTTCCACTGGCTGTGAGCAAAAATGCCACATTCCTGTGTGAACTGTAACAGTATATCCACAGCAAATCAGAGCTCAGTACTGTTTTTATCAAGCTTCCTAAGATAGTTATTTTAAAACTAGCTAACATATACCAGTCATCAACAATGACACTGAGTATAAACATAAACCTCGGAAGCAAGGACAAGAAGTTAGGTACTTACCGTGGATGTGAGCAAGAGAATCTAGGCAGCATCAGCACAGCATTTGCAATATGATCTATTTTCCTGTTAGCTAAATAAGAAATCTATCTGAAAATCTGCCTCTCCTCTTACAAATATGGGGCTAGAAAACCATGGAAAATGCACGATCTTTTTGTGTCCAGAAGTCTCATACAAGAAGTAGGAAGATTGTTTTAACTTTTAAAATGTCTGTGTTGATGATTTCAACTATATAGCTATTCTGCTCTCTTGAAATATTTTGTATATTGTTTTCAGATTATTTTTAAAGGCCACTATTTAGTGATGGAAGTTTTGGTTCTGTAGGATGGCTAAATGAGGTTTCGAAACACTTGAGACTGCTTGAAATATGTTGGTGATATCAAAACATCTTTTAAACTAGTGTTTTGATTAAGGGCAAATATAACTTTCACTTCTGCAGTCCAAACCTTGCAGCATGTTATGAAAAACTGGGTATTGAAACTGAAATGCAGAACAAACAAGCAGGAGAAATGGTGAAATGGGATCTGCACTTACAGAATGTGCACTTTTTATTAATCGAAAGTAAGATTTATTTTTTTTAAAAAACAAATATAATTTCAACACAGGTACTTTCCTAATTATGAAGGCTTAAATAAAATGGAATGGCTGCGTAGTATTTTCTGATATAGCCACAGCATAACATGCCACAGCCTGGCTCAGAGAACAATTATAGTCCTTCAGAAGTATTATATTGCAAAGTACAATACAGTGGACACAGTGTCTTCATATATGTGTACTACTATGGTAATGGAAGCGTTAGAATCGTCTGGAAACTTCAGCAAAATAATATTCATTTTTCATTTTCTCTTGAAGGTCCTTTATATAAACCTGTGTCTTCATAAGCCAGAGTGGGTGTCAAGAGATCTGAGTTTATATAACTGCACAGGGGAATTTTTTGGAGTAAGTCAGGACTTTTTTATTCAAATGTTGCATGTTGAGGGAGGAAACCTAATTTTGGAATACATGGGTTTTGGATAAGAGTTTTGAGGTTGTACTATACAGTGATCAACAAATTTGCAGAATATGCTTCTGTTGCTCATAAATATTTAACAGTTGGTATTGAAATACAGTATTGATTAAGTAAAAAAGAGAAGCATTAAAGAGCTGTCTTTTTAAAATTCTGTTGTTTAGACTAAAAGTGAATTTCTCAAGGGAATGGTAAAACTGGGAAGCTCAATGTTGAGTATTTGAGGATGTGGAGCACCTTAGAATGAAACATAGTACTATTTGATTTGCATTAAAGTGTCTTTGTGTACAAACTTTGTGACTCTTGGCCCTTCTTGCAGGAAACCAAATTTCTGCATTGACACTGTCATCCTGTTGTACAGTAGGCTATTGAATAATCAAGAGACTGAAAATTGATGAGCTGTTTAAACTGCACTAGAGTTAAAGACACAAGTAGTTGCAGTGGGGATGAGGAAAGAAGACTCAAAAGTCAGGGAGAGAGAGACATGAGGTATTGGTCATTGCACTGGAACACTAGAAAACTTCTTAGGATTGAACTGAAATCTAGGCAAAAGACTCATACTCCACAAAAGATACTAGAAGTTGCAGTGCATTGCAGTCTCCAGTGCATTGGCCCATCTAAACTTTGCAGGTTGACATTAGTGTCAAAAACTTTGCAGGTTGTTAATTTGGTAGCACCTAGAACTGGTGACTTCTATGTGAATATGGCACATAACCTGAATCCTCTTCCTTACTACACATCTGACTAATTTCCCCAAATAAATTGGATGTTTTTTGCAGAGGAGAATCATACAAAGGGCTCTGAACAGAAGTAATGGCTGCTACTTCTACAGGTTTGTTCAGGGCAACTCTTCCCATCTCCTAATTCCCCCATCCGTTTTGGGGAAGGCAGGATTTATGTGGAT